GGATGCCAGGGGATCGAAGGATGCAGGGATCAAGGGATGCCAGGGGATCGAAGGATGCCAGGGATCGAGGATCCAGGGGAGGGGATGCCAGGGGATCGAGGGAAGCCAGGGGATCGAAGGATGCCAGGGGATCGAAGGATGCAGGGGGATCGAAGGATGCCAGGGATCGAGGGGATCGAAGGATGCCAGGGGAATCGAGGGATGCAGGGGATCGAGGATAAGGGGGATCGAGGGATGCCAGGGGATCGAAGGATGCCAGGATCGAGGGATGCCAGGGGATCGAAGGATCGCAGGGATGCAGGGGATCGAAGGATGCCAGGGGATCGAGGGATGCCAGGGGATGAGGATGCCAGGGATCGAAGGATGCCAGGGGATCGAATCGCCAGGGGATCGAGGATGCCAGGGGATCGATGATGCCAGGGGATCGAAGATGCCAGGGGATGCGAAGGATGCCAAGGGGATCGAGGGATGAGGCCAGGGATCGAAGGGATGCCAGGGATCGAAGGATGAGGGGATCGGGGGATGCCAGGGGATCGAAAGGATGCCAGGGGATCGAAGGATGCCAGGGATGGAAGGATGCCAGGGATCGAGGGATGCCAGGGGATCGAGGATGCCAGGGGATCGAAGGATGCCAGGGGATCGAAGGATGCCAGGGGATCGAAGGATGCAGGGGATCGAGGGATGCCAGGGATCGAATTCGAAGGATGCCAGGGGATGCGAAGGATGCCAGGGGATCGAGGGCCAGGGATCGAGGATGCCAGGGGATCGAGGGATGCCAGGGGATCGAAGGATGCCAGGGGATCGAGGATGCCAGGGATCGAGGATGCAGGGGATGAGGGGATCGAAGGATGCCAGGGATCGAAGGATGCCAGGGAGGATCGAAGGATGCCAGGGATCGAAGGATGCAAGGGGATCGAGATGCCAGGGGATCGAAGGATGCCAGGGGATCGAAGGATGCAGGGGATCGAGGGATGCCAGGGAGATTCGAGGGATGCCAGGGGATCGAGATGCCAGGGGATGCCAGGGGATCGAAGGATGCCAGGGGATCGAGGATGCCAGGGGATTGCCAGGGGATCGAGGGATGCCAGGGGATCGAAGGATGCCAGGGATCGAGGGATCCAGGGGATCGAAGGATGCCAGGGGAATGCAGGGGATCGAGGATGCCAGGGGATCGAAGGATGCCAGGGATCGAGGGATGCCAGGGGATCGAAGGATGCCAGGGGATCGAGGGATGCCAGGGGATCGAAGGATGCCAGGGGATCGAAGGATGCCAGGGATCGAAGGATGCCAGGGGGATCGAAGGATGCCAGGGATCGAAGGACCAGGGGATCGAAGGATGCCAGGGGATGCCAGGAATCGAAGGATGCCAGGGGATCGAGGGATGCCAGGGATCGAAGGATGCCAGGGGATCGAAGGATGCCAGGGGATCGAGGATGCCAGGGGATCGAAGGATGCCAGGGGATCGAAGGATGCCAGGGGATCGAGGGATGCCAGGGATCGAAGGATGCCAGGGGATCGAAGGATGCCAGGGGATCGAAGGATGCCAGGGGATCGAGGGATGCCAGGGGATCGAATGGGATGGCCAGGGGATCGAGGATGCAGGGGATCGAGGGATGCCAGGGGATTCGAGGATGCAGGGATCGAGAGGATGCAGGGGATCCAGGGATGCCGAGGGGATGCGAGGGAGGGGGGATCGAAGGAATGCAGGGGATCGGAAGGGATGCAGGGGGATTCGACAGGAATGCCAGGGGATCGAAGGATGCCGAAGGGGATCTGGAGGCGATGCCAGGGATCGAAGTGAAGAGTGCAGGGATGTGAAAGGTAATGCCAGGGGTATCGAAGAATGCGTATGTGGGCATCGAAGCATGCCAGGGGATGAAGGATGCGCAGGGGATGCGAGGATGCGCAAGGGATGAAGATGCCCAGGCGGATGGCGAGGGATGCCAGGGATGCGAATGATGCGCGCGAGGGATCGAGGGATGCCAGGCCGAGCAATACGAGAGAGAGTGCAAGTAGGAGTGCGAAGGATGCCAAGGGGAAATCGAGAGAGGATGACAGGGGATCGGAGGGATGCCGCAGGGGAAGTGCGAAGGATGCAGGGATCGAAAGAAGATGAGGGGATCGTAAGGATAGCAGGGGATCGGGAATGGAATGCGCGAGGATCGAGGAATTCCAGTGGGGATCCGAAGATGCCAGGGGATCGAAGGAATGCAGGGGATCGAAGGTAATGCCAGGGGGATCGAAGTAATGCAGGAGGATCTAGAAGGATAGACCAGGGATCGAGGGGATGCCAGGCACACACGCACGCCTCGAAGGATGCCGGGATCGGAAGGATGCCAGGGGATCGAAGGAATGCCAAGGGGATCGAGAGGGAGATGCCAGGGGATGCGAAGGATGGTGCAGGAGGAAATGCGGAGGGATGCCAGGGGATCGAGGGATCCAGGGGATCGAAAGGATGCCAAGGGAATCGAGGAGATCGAGGGGAGTGCGAGGGAGTGCCGAGATATCGAAAGGATCGCAGGGGATCGAGGGATCGCCAGGGGAGTCGAGGGATGGCAGGGGATCGAAGGGATGCACCAGGAATCGAAGGATGCCGAGGCGGATCCGAAGGATCTGGCAGGGGATGACGAGGGATGGCAGGGGAGTCGAAGATGGGCCAGGGAGGAATTGCGAAGGAAGCAGGGTAAGCGAGGATGAGCGAGGAGGATCGAAGGATTGCGCAGGGATACGAAGGAATGCAGGGGAATTAACGAAGGAATGCCAGGGGATCGAGGATAACGCCAGGTGGATGCGAAGGGATGCCTAGGGGATGCGAGGGATGCCAGGGGAAATCGAGGATGGCCAGGGGATCGAAAGGATGACCAGGGGGATCGAGGGATGCCCAGGGATCGAGGATGCCACAAGGTGGATCGAAGGATGCACAGGGAATCAGAGGGATGACCAGGGGATCGAGGGATACCAGGGGGAGGTCGAAGGATAGCCTAGTGGATCGATAGGATGCAGGGAGATCGAGGGAGTGCACTGAGGACGGATCGAGGATGCCAGGGGGATCGAAGGATGCAGCAGAGGGATTCGAGGGATGCCAAGGGGATCGAGGGATGCCAGGGATCGAATAGGATGCCTGAGGGGAAATCGAAATAGAGATGCGCTCAGGGACAGATGGGATGGGCCATGGGGAATCGAGGGATGCGAGGGCATGCGAAGGATGCCAGGAGGAATCGAGGGATGCCAGGGGATCGAGGGTGCCAGGGAGAGTCGAAGGATGCAGGTGATCGAAGGATGCCAGGGGATCGGGGGATGCCCAGGGGATCGAGGGAGATGCCCCGGGGATCGAAAAGGATGCCGGGAGGGCATCCGAAAGGATGCCAGGGGATCGTAGGAATTGCCTAGGGGGATCGAAGGATGTCAGGACGGGATTAGGGCTTTGGATATGCTGAATGGCGGAGGGCGTCAGGTGCTAGGGTTGACTGCATGAAGAACGGATTTCTGATTCAGTGAATGATGCGTTTGATGGCTATGTGATTATAGAATGATGAATACCGTGTATAGACTATGTATAGTCAACAAGGGATTATAATGAATAAATGAGAAAAGTACTTGGTAAGACTGCAGCCAACCAAGTAACAAAATAAAGAGGCCTATGCATGTCACCCAATTAATTGCTTCATGATCACACATGCTGAATATTAATCATTCCTGCATCATTCCTCCTTTATCGCATTTTATGACGACCAAAGTTCTAGTAGTATTGGCGCATGCAAGATTCCTTTTCGCTCAGCAAAAGGAAGATAAAAGATAAGCACCAGGCCCCTAACACCCCTGCCAGTCGTGCTTGCCCGCAGGCGGAGGCGGAGCTGACGGGTCTGTCCGCGCCATTGTGGCCTTTAACTTTTCAAGCCCAGCGTTCAGCGACACGATCCATGATGTCGCCTCAAAGGCATTCCGAAATCATCAAGGGGGGTACGTCAGGGAGGCTGCAGAAGGAAAAAGACTGTAATGAAAATAAGCGCACAAGAGTGGGAATAGAGAAAAAGAGAAAAGTGAGAGACAAGATGTGGAAGTGACGAGGAACAGGAAATGAAAGATCAAAATACCTAAAAGGAGAGATAAGATAAGCAAGGAATATGGAGAGAAAGGGAAATAGAACACATATGAGGAGAGCATAAATGAAAAATAAGGATATAGATCAGCAGCATATGTTGAAGCATGATAAATACCTTGTATTAAGCAGACAATAATAGAAAATACTAATTGATAGTAAGAGAAAACGGTGAGATCGTAGTTAAAATCAGTTACACCAAACTTACAAGCCCTCGTGTCATGTGCATTCGACCCAAAAATATATACTAAAACAAGAGGAGAGAGAAAATGAAAAGAGGGGGGAGGAGCCCGGAAGAAAGAAAGGCATACAGATTATGCACATTCCCTAGGCCGGCCAAGAGAGAGCCTCGTTGAGCTTGTTTTTGGTATCAGTTGGATTATGATCTTTTGTCTTCTATGTGCTTCCTCATCTTCCCTTTCCTTACTACTTTTGAATCGCTATCATCCTTACCTGCCGACCGACTGGTCACTAAGTTCCTTCCTACCTAACCGCCCCGCCGCCCTCCCTCCCCCCTCCCTCCCTCCTTCCCTCCTTCTCGCTTCCCTCCCTCCCTCCCGACCCGTCCTCCTTCCTCGTACGCCCAGCCCATTCTTAGCCTTGTGCTTTTCATCGTCCTCTTTTTCTCGTTGCCTCCTCCCTGTCCCGTTCCTCCCTCCTCGCCCTGCTCCGCCCGCAGCGCCCTGTGACCGGAAGCCCATCATCGGCCTGGGCGGCGTGGCGGAGACCCCGGGCAGGAAGCCGCGAGGAGCAGGACTGGGCGGAGGCCTGGGCCTGCGGACGCCCTCGTCGTCGTCGTCGGCGGGCGCGGGCGGCGGCGGGCGGAGGAGCCGGGGGCTGGCGGGGCGCGTGCGGCAGCTGGAGGGCCACACGAGCCTCAGCCGCCGCCTCGACCACCTGG